CAGCACTCTAAACTCAGAAAATACTTATTTTTCTTTTTTCTTTTTTTTTACTAGTTTATTTACAAAATTCTAATACAAATTCTTTCCATTTTCTTCACCCCCCCACCAATCAAATTGTACAACCCAATGATTAATCCCCTCTTCCCCCTGCACATCCACATCCCTCTGCTTCGAGCCTCTCCCACCCCTCTTGGATCCTTATACTCATTCTACAATAATAGTTTTATACAATATTTATCCTTGTGAGACTGAGTTAGTTCACTCAGTATAATGCTTTCCAATCCCTCCCAAGTTAGGTAATAATTTACAAAGTTATTGCTCCTGCATGCTGCATAGTATTCCATTGTGTGAATGTACCATAAAGAAAATACTTCTTTTTCAAAGCTAAACATGCTAGGACAGAATGCTGTGGGATGGTGAAGGTGTGACCATCAGGCAACATCTCTCCTTTCTGGTTGTCAGGGCAATAGTAAAAGAGAAAATAATAATAGTAAATAATAATAGTAATTATTATTAGTATTAGTATTATTATAAAAGAAGAAGAATAGTTAAAAAAAATAGCCCCTCAAAAAGCTGACAGTGTAGGTAAAAAGTCTGTTTGAATCTATCTTCAGTAATGGAGTGCAGATGTAAAGCAAAGTTTTAAAAAGTAGTAAAGGAATCAGAAAAAAAATTCAGAAGGCGCTCAGAAAATACAGTTCATAGAAGCAGGGGCATCTCAAGCGCGTCGGCTTTGCATGGGTTCACACAGTAGCCTCTGACCACGTCCGGCAACTCCACACCCACATTCTCAACAAGACGACCATCTGTGCATTCCTCATGGCTCAGATCACCTGGGACCTCAGGTGTGGCCTGGAGAATCTATTAACTGAACCAGAAACCAGTTGTCGTCAGTTCTCCTCCATGGTGGCCCATGAGGTGTGAACTGTAATCCCCAGGACAGCAGGTTTCCTAGAAGTGGGTCAACAGGCTTTTCTTCTTAGGCACCTCTGGAAGGACTTGAACCTCCAGCCTTTGGGTTAACAGGCTAGTATTTTAACCATTTGGACCACCCAAGGATTCTTGATAGGAGCCCTGGCGGCCTAGTGGTAAGAAGCTGCACTGCAATCCCAAAGGCACTCGGACATCCACTTCTCTGTGAGAGAAGGATGGGCAGTCCCCTCCTGTGTGACTCGCTGCTTCTCAAAACCCACAGGAGGGTCAGCTGCAAGCCGGTTCTGACTCCATGAAGTCAACAGCAACAACAATAAGGACTCTTGATTAAAGTAACTCAGCGCGAAACATCAGTATCCACAGGGTTGCAAGGAACCTTATAGATGATCCAGGCCAGCCTCGTCTTCTGACAGGTGAGAGGGGAACTGAGGCCCAGGGAGGTCATGTGGCTTGGCCAACGTCACATTATTAACTAGCAAAACACTCCAAAGGCCTCTTCATACCTAGAGGCCAAATACAGTTTGACCTTTTTTTCATTGTGTGCTCACTGTGTCCGGATTCTCAGCTCTTTGCAGTGCTGACCTGTGAGCTGATAGCATTGTGCCTGGGAGACGGGGGAGGAGCCGTAGTGGCTCCGTGGTTAAAGCACTCAGATACTGAAGTAAATGTTGGCCCTTTGCAACCGCCAGCCAGTGCTCTGGAGAAAGAGGCATCTTTGCAGCCTAGGAAACCGGAAGGGACTGTTCTATCCTGCCTTATAGAATCTAATTGCGTCAGAATAAACCCAAAGGCAGCAGGTCTGGGGGAGGCAAGAGATCCAACTCTGGGCTCTTCTAGACAAGTCACTTCACCTTTTAGAGCTTCGACTCCCAAACAGGAAATGCTCGGGTCAAAATTCCCTTCCACCTGTACCACTGTGTGGTTCTAACTCCATTCTGGGGCTGGAGGCTGATCCCAGCCCCAGCCACTGGGCAGATGCAAACCAGAGGTCGAAACAGAGGGGCAGACACGGGAGGCACTCGGTCCTGGAGACGGAACAGTATGGTTCATGCGATGCAACCCAATAAACACATCCTTGGTAGAAAGGGCTTCTGTTTCTCTCTATAGGATCCTTATCAAATGCATTCCAGTATATTTCCACTCAAGCAGCTCTGGGGGCACAGCCGGTAAATACTTGGCTGCTAACTGAAAGGTGAGGGGTTCAAACCCACCAGCTGCTCCTCTAGAGAACACAGTGGCATTCTGCTTCTGTGAAGTTCACAGCCTCGGAAGGCCCACGGGGCAGTTCTGCTCTGTCCTGCTGGGTCAGAAAGAGCCGGACCAGCCTTAGTAGCAGCGTGTGGGGTGTTTCCATTCAGCTGGATCCTAAACTCTCCACTAAGCCTGAGAGGCAGCCTTCTGGGATAGAACAGCCATGTCCGTCAGATCTTGGACTTAAGCCTTTACATCCTATTTGTTCTAACATGCTGAGCTCTGGAAGGAAGGTCCTGGATACCCTCCCATAAAGATATGCAACCTCAGAAACCCATGAGTCAAAATCGACTCACAGCACAGCGCTGAGTGCGTTTTTATGAGGGGCTCATTCTGGAGGTTCTCATCATGATCATAAACACCGGTGGTCCTCAGTGTACACCTGCCACAAGGGCCTGACCCCTAACACTGAGTTCTGTGGGGAGTCTGGAGAGGGGGACTCCAGACTTTGTCTTCCAGGAACATTTAGTGTAATGGAGGAAGTAAAGAGGTCGGCATAAAATAAACAGTACCCCGTGTTTAAATGATCCTGGTCGCCGAAGGAGAGAGCCCTTGGGTGGAGCTGGTTGGAAGAAGCATGATGGAAGAAGGAAGAGTGTATGGAGCAGGGTCTTAAAAGGTCATTCAGTGCCAGCCATGGAGCTCTGGTGAGTCAAGTACTCAGTGCTCACCCAAAGGTTGTCAGTTCATGGGGAGCTCTGGTGGCCTAGTGGCAAGGAGCTGCAACTACAATCCCAGGGGTGCACAGTTCGAATCTACCAGATGCTCTGCTGGGGAAGGAGGGACAATCTCCTCCTGTACCAGTCAGATGTGATTTGACGGTACACTCACACAAAAATAACAATAAAAAATTTAAAAAAAAAAAAAAAAGGTTGTCAGTTCAAACCTACCCAACGGCTCTAAGGGAGAAAGACCTGGCAGTGTGCACCCCTAAGGTGACTCCTGACCCCGTTGCTATGGAGTGGATGCTCACAGTGTTCCTACAGGACAAGGCGGAGCCCCACACAGTCCCCAGGTCCCCACGGCTGTGTGCTTTTCAGGAGCAGACAGCTCGCTGCCATATTTCTCTTCTACAGCTAGTGGGTTTGAACTGCTGACCTCTCAGCTGCTGGCGCATCCACTCCTTTCTCAGCAGCATGGCAGCCATGGAGAGATCATCTAGATTGGGACAGGGCAGGGCCAGTGGCACAGGAGTGAGGGCTGGGAAGGGGGTTAGAACCTGGAGGATGAGGAGGTCAGGGAGCAGGCAGGGCTTAAATTATGGAGGGCCCTGAAAGTCACGCTGATTGGTGGAGTTTCTCTTTTAGAAAGGGCGCTCCGGTGACTTGGTGGTAAGGAGTTGTGAACCCGAAGACCTTCAGTTTGAGTCCACCAATTGCTCTGCAGGAGAAAGATGGGCAGTCTCCTCCCATGGGATTTACTGCCTCAGAAAGCCCTCTGGAGGGTCAGCTCTGGGTCAGTTCACGGACAGTACACACCACCACGACAGTCAGGGAGCAGTAAAGGGGCTCCCAAGGAAGGCCTCACAATGGTGACCTGGTTTGTGGTTGGCTGGGTGCCATCAAGCTCATCAACTCACAGTCACCCCATGTGACAGCATAGCTGCCCCAAAGTCTTCAATCTCCTTCAAAGCTGCTGGGGAGCTCTGACCTGCTAATCTTTTGGTTATCGTCCAAATGCTTAATCTTTGCACCACCAGGACTCCCTAGTGGAACAAAAGGGTTGAAATCAGATGCAAGGGTTCCTGAAGGCAAAGAACCCAACAAATGTAGGCCCATCCCCTCCACTGCCCTGTCCACACCTACACCGGGTGTTAATGGGCATTCCTGGCTTGGTATTGTATTCCGTCTTCTCAGTCATACTCTGGGGTTATGTCCCCTCCTTATCCAGAGAGTGGCTTTGGAGAGGCTGATTGATGATGGTGGGAGGCTGTGGAAACCTCCCCTGGCTCCCCTTTGAAGTCTCTTGTTTCTACATTTGTTGTTGTGGGATGCCCGGGAGTTCACAACCACACACTGCAACCCAGTGAACAGCAGGCCTGAACCTTGTCCTCTGCTGGGCCACCCTCCTGATGCCAAATATGCTCGAGCCCATTGCCACAGTCACCGTGTCAGTCCAGCTTGCTGGGGGGGGGCTTCCTCTCTTCCTCCAAAGACTGGCCTCTCCTGACGGCACGTCCACCTACTGGACGTCGTCTCATCATCCTTGCCTCGAACGTTGCACCTCCTCCAGGATGGACTTGTTTGCTCTTTGGACACGCCGTGGGACGTTCGGTGCTCATCCAGCTGCAGTTCAAAGGCATCACTGCTTCTGCGGGGCCATTAATGAAGAAATGACAGAACCACCCTGTCACTGCTCAGTCTGCATCGTGAGCTCTGTTCACTGCCCTCCACGCCGCTCCGTGGACTCTCGAAATGCACAGGCCTTTGTGGCAGGGGACACGTGCTTCTTAAGGCATCTGAGGGCGTGTCCTCCATTCCAACTTAAAGTAAAACAAGACCCAGTGTCAGTTCCAACTCAGTGACAGAGGAGAATTCCCCTATTAGAAACTAGAACTCCCCATCCGGTTTCCAAGGCCACGCATCCTTACGGAGGCAGATGGCCTCGTCTCTCTCCGCCCTTTCAGTTAGTAGCCGAGGGCTTTACCCAGTGTGCCAAGACTCCTTTCAGTAGGGGGACATGACTTACACATTCAACAACCTAAAAAATTTGGTAAGTACTTCACAACTGTTATTTTGCTGAAGAGTCTTAGATGATCGCTGTTACTGGTCTGAATGGGGTCTTTCCCTCTTCCATCTTTTTATTCCAGGTTAAGAATGACCCAAAAGGATTCGAAGCTTTGCTCCAGAGCCAATGTTTATACTCAAGTGCCTGATGGAGGATGGGGCTGGGCTGTTGCTGTGTCTTTCTTCTTTGTTGAAGTCTTTACCTACGGAGTCATCAAATCGTTCGGTGTCTTCTTTAATGACTTAATGGACAGCTTTGATGAATCTAATAGCAGGATCTCATGGATTGTATCAATATGTGTGTTTGTCCTAACATTTACAGGTGAGTACACCTTTCCATTCACACGCCACGCCAAGTGGTGAATCTGCCCAGCTGTTGCTTTGTCTGTGATGGGTGCCCTGTATGTTCTGTGGCTTCCTTTTAAGGCAGCTGGTTTTTTGTGGGGCAGGAAAGAGACGCACTGAAGTTAAGGTTCTATATGCCAGCCTTAACTGCCTCCAGTTTACACACATGCATATAAGCACCTCCTGTATGCACGGTCTTTGGATACTATCAGTTACTGCAAGCACAGCCATCACCCCAGTTCTGTGGGGAAGCAAACACTTTCTAAAGAAGGAACATCGAAAGTACAGGGCATGCCGCTCCCTCACTCAGGGTCAGCACATCGAGGCCAGCTGGGAACTCACTCCCCTCCATCAGTCTTCCCAGGCTGTAACTCTTTTTTTTTTTTTAATTATAATACCAGAACATTTATTGCATAACTAAACAGTGGAATTCTTAAGATGAACTGGATGCTACAACAGCTGCCCGTTTGGGTTTCAGTGTGAAGGAATCCATGCCTGAATCTGCGGTAAACGACCTTTAGGTGCCTCATGCGACCAGTACCGGTGGTATTTCGCCTTTTAGCCTTGGCACTCCAGTTATACTTTCTCTTACGCTTGGCAGGGTAGCCACACTTGCCACAGGTGGACTTCTGAAGGTGGTAGGTCTTGGAGCCACAGCGGCGGCACAGCGTGTGCATCTTACTGCGATGCTTTCCAAACGATGACGTTCCCTTCGTCATCTCGCTTTTGCTGCCGCGACCAAAGAGAGGCTGTAACTCTTCATGGAAGGAGACTGCCTATCTTTCTCCCTTGCTGGATTCCAACTGCTGAAGACACACGGCCTTTTGGTTAGCCATGCAGCGCGCCGTGGACTACACCACCAGAACATTCCAGCCCCTGTTGGTTTTACTGTGGTGTGCCATCGAGTTGGAACCAGCTCATAGCTGACCCCCTCACCCCGTCCCCAGCAAGTTTTCCCAGGTTATGAATTGCACAGGCGGAGACTGACCATCTTTCTTCTGTGGATCAGGTGCTGGATTGGCAGTACATCTCTCTACAACCACCGGAGTAGAGCTTCCTTTACTGGACCTTTGTTGTTCCGTGCCGAGTCAGAATTGGTTCCTAGCTGGTCTCCCCAGTGGCTTCCCAGAGGCTGCAGAGCGCACAGGAGACTGCCTGGCTTGCTCCCAAGGAGCAGCTGGTGGATTCAAACCAAGTGCCTTTGGGTGAGCAGTGTAGCTCCTTACCACTCAGCCACCAGAACCCCTGGGGTCATAAAAACACAGAAAGCACAGGCAACACAGGAAAGCAGGCGTGGAAAACTAACTGTGGAGACTTGAAGGAGAAAGACGGATGTGTCAAAGGACACAAACTACAACTGCAAATGCGTCACAAGGAGGGTGCTGGACACGGCATGGCCCCGTCTGATGTCCACAGGGTAACTATGGGTTGTAGTCAACTCGATGACACCTGACCGTATCCAGAGGTGCCTCCTGGAGTCCCTGAGGGATTTTACTGATTAATCATTCCCTCCGCCCAACGGGATAAAGTAAAATGGGGTTTTCACATCATCTCATACAGGCCTGACAGGAGCGTGTGTTCTGGGTCACGTGCCGGCACCTGTCAGCCACAGCCGCCGGGCTTTCTGAGCACACAGGGCTGCTGAACTTACTCCGCAGAGTCAGCTGGCTGACCTCAGATGCCTCCAACTTCAACATCTTAACTGTTGGCTCTGAAGCTCCCCAAGCTTCTGTAAATGGAGTCTGCTTTCAGCCATGTAGGATCTTTAAAGAGGCATCTGTATTCCTTTTGGGGGAAGCAGGAATCTTTCCTATTTGTCCGCAGACTGTCTCCTATCTCCGAGTTTCCTGGGAGAGCCTCTACTTCCAGTTTAATTGAATGAATGATCAGTGGTGGCATCAGCTGCTGGCCAGTCAGCCCAAACTCATGGACAGACCCACCCCCATCCTTGTGCACAATGAGTTGAAACACTGCTTGGTCTGGTGCCGGCCACATGACTGACTGCAGATCAGATCATTAAGATCCAAAAAAAGTTTTAATTGGCTGGTCTTTGGAAGGAGATCGCCAGGCCTTTCTTCCTACTCTGTGTTTGTCTGGAGGCCCCGTTGAAACCTGCTCAGTATCACAGCCTCCACTGACAAGGCAGGTGGATCTGCGTAGGAGGTGCACTAGCAGAGAATCGAACCTGGGTCTCCCGAGCAGAAGGCAAGAATTTTACCACCAAGCCACCAGTGCCCTCCCTTTGGAATATTATTTCAAGTTATGAAATGTTCACTTTCTCAGAAAGATCATTTCAGTAAACTAGAACTAACCTCTCACATTTGGCCAACTCAAAAAAAGAAAAAGAAAATCCCAGAGCTCAAGTTTTAGCTCTTTTATAACCAGAGAACAATGCTGTCATTAGGGAGTTTCTGTTTAATGCGATTGAATTCTTTTAGCAGCCATGTATTCTAGCAGCTAATGCTTTGACCCACTGCACCGCCTAATAATCATGACGGTAATTTCATTATGAGCTATACGCAGTAACAGCTTGCCTTCTACCAACAAACTTGACTACTTGAATGGACTAACCCCAACAGCATGTAACCCCGGCTGGTGTGGTTTGGGGTGATGGGTTTTTCACACATGGGTGTCCAGACTCAGTTGGAAGGATATCACTGCTCTGAACACCAGTATGTTCTGTGTTTGCCCCACCCCTCAAAGGCCACATGGCTGAGAATACACAAGCCAGTGAAGGTTAGTGCAGGTCCCACAGAACTAGAGAGCTGACCTCCCTCTCTCAGTTGACTTGGCATAAGCGCCAACAGAGGACAGAGTTACATCAACTTCTTAACATAACCAAGCATCCCGAGGCAGTGGGGCCGTGACCATGGGGCCTCAGGACTCAGCAAATAGAGTGCACTAGACACAAGGCACTTGGGTGGCCTGGAATGCAGGGGGTTGAGCTACTCATCCGAAGGTTCAATCCACCAGCGGCTCTTACAGGAGGAAGACGGGGGCCTCCTCCCACAAGATTTACAGCCTCCTCCCACGTGGTGTACAGCCTCCTCCCACGTGGTGTACAGCCCCCTCCCACGTGATTTACAGCCCCCTCCCACGTGGTGTACAGCCTCCTCCCA